ATAAAAAAAAATAAATTTAAACAATTGTAGTATCAGGCTGCAACATAACAAAATTGAAAAAAGTGAAGGGGGTCTGAATACTTTCCGAATGCACTGTAATATACAGCACTGTATAGAGTCTGGGGGCATACAAGTTTAATTAATAGCAATAACAGTCATAATAATAATGTATGAAGTGGCCAGAAGGATCTTTCATTTTCTGTTCTTTAACATTTTAAACAGCTTGGCCTTCAAAGAAGTGTGGGGCTGTTACTGAAATCCTCCTCACTTGGAGCACTTCTTGGACTGACCATGTGAGAGAAACAACATCTTAGTGAAAAGAGGACAAGAGGACTTAACAACCCAGCTTCTCTGTAGAAAATAGTTGTAGTACTACTTATTGAAAAGATGGCAGGGGAGCAAATTTTTTCCATCGGTTGCATTTGAGGGCAATGCTGATTGGTGTCCCCAACCTCAGAAGACTTGAATGATGGCCTGAAGATGCATTTGAGGCAGAACAATTCTGTGCAGCTACAGCCAATTTCAAATAATCCACAATGAGGGACTTTCCAAATAGGAAAAAATAATATCCTATTAATTAATTAATTTAAAAAATACCCTATTCCAATTAGGATAAATTAAGCCAGTGAAAAGAGGAGAAAAATAAATAGGAGAATAGGAAATGCCTTTCAAATTTGTATGTTGGTAATTGTAAGAAATGTAGCAAAGCACAATAAGGTTTGTCATTTCCAGATTATTCAGGTGTTTCTGTCTGCTCCCCAGATAACTAATTTAGGGTGTCAAAAGTTATAACAATCCATTGGGGCTAGGAAATACATTCTGAGATATTCTGGGATCTGTCGTCAAATTCTACATTCTCTCATCTGGATTATTCCTTTGGAACACAAAACTAGACTGTGGACACTTTTCACAAAGTTGCAGATTGCAGGAGTGGTTGGAAAAGGTTTAGGGCTATTTTTCTTTCTGAAAGAAATCCAGAATGTTCTGCTACCAAATATCCCATCCATGTGCTTTAAGCATTTTCATAATTTCATCTCCTTCTGTCATGCTTCTGGTTTCAATTACTCACTCACACACAGTTGCTATGGTCGTTCACAGTTTACTCAAGGTCAAAGAGATCACAAAACAATGCGAACCAGAATGGAGTCTCTAACAGTAGCTTGCCTGAAAGATGTGCTTTTAACAAGAGCATGCAGATGAATAGTCCATATTCAGCCCAAGGATCTGAGAGCCGGTTCAGGGTTGTCAGCCAGTCCAGAGGTCAGAATTTCACCAGCAGACTCCACACACAAGAACTGGAAATCAGACAGTTATTTGCAGCAAAAGAACATGAGCTGCCTCTTAAATCAGGCTGCAGCCAGCTGTCATTAATCAAGAGATTTACTCCCTTGCTTGGAAAGAAGCCTCATAGATCGTCTCTGCTCTGCCCTGCCCTCTACACATCTGGTGTGGAAGCTGGGCAGCCTTACCTTATCCTCATCTGCCTGCTCCAGCTGTCCAGGTGCTGCCTGTCCCCGATCAGCTTCATGTGACTCTTGGCTTGGCATTTCTTGAGGTTCATATTCCATGGGTTCCACATTCCACAAGCAGCTTCTTTAGGGTCAGGGTCACAGTCACGTTCAGAATCTGAATCCTGAGCCTGGGCCATGACACTCTCTAGCATCTATGCCAGTGTTGCCCAAACTTGGCCACTTTAAGATGAGTGGATTTCAACTCCCAGAATTCCCCAGCCAGCCATTGCTATAGCTTATAGACAAATTTTACACTTGGTTCCTAGATCTGGCAGCCACAAGGTCTGGTTATCTTTGCCCAGTCGAGCTTACTACGTGTGGGCTGGGGCATTGTGGGAGTATAGGGC